CCTGTCTCCTACCTGGCTGTGTATGGGAGCTCTGGTGGTGTAGTGCCTAAGGCACTTGACTGCTAACCAGAAGGCTGGCGGTTCAAACCCACCAGCCACTCCATGGAAGGAAGGTTGGGCGATCTACTTCCGTAGTGATACTGGCTCGGAAACCCAAGGAGGGGTTGCTATGTGTCGGATCTGACTCAACAGCAGGGCATTGTGTGTGTTTGTTTGCATTTCCGGGCCGTGAGTTCTTTGTGTACAAATTGCATGATGCAGCTTCATCTCTGATGTTGCTTGGAGTTGCTGGCATGTAGTGATCACCAAGTACACATTGGCTGGGAGGATGGCTGAAGGTGGATGTGCGGGTGGATGGGTGGATGGATGGTTGGGAGGAAGGATGGACAGATGGATGATGGGTGATGGACTGATGCTTGAGCAATGACTACACTGACAGACTCCCATGCTCTCACTTACACCTTCCAGTGCAGTTAAACTAACAGCCCACTCCAGGTTCTCTGGGGCTTTAACTGAATTCACTTTGGTTTCAGGGGACATAGTTGGCCCTCCCTGAAAATACATGGAGAACCCTGCCTGAGCATTTGAAGGCGTGTGTGTAAATACTTTACAGGCCCCATAAACTTGTTTAAAGACAGGTAGGGGTGAACGTATAAGCCGGGCAGCCTTTTGGGAGGGCAGTTGGGAAGTAGCTATTGAAATCTGAAACGTGCCTACCACGAACACCCAGCAGTTCCACCTTTAATTGACGGGTGTAAGGAGTACGTTCAGATACTGAGCCCCATGCACCACATACCAGGATGCATGGAGGGTGCCCATTGCCGCTCTGGTCACGACAGAGATAGTTTGGAAATACCGAAGCATCCAGCAACAGGGGGATGGCAACTGAACCCGGAACACCTCGCTACTTAAGGAGAATGAAGCAGGGGTGTGTGCACACACGGGGAGATGGAGCTGGGGCGGGGGAGCGGCTCTTGGCCATCTGAGTCTTGGAGTCTGAGACTCCCAGACCTCACCACCGCCGTTTCCGTTCCAGCCGCTTGTCCGTCTCCTGCCTCTCCCTACCGGAACCATATCTTCAATGCATGTGCCTCCCTGCCAGTGAACTTCCCTCGCAGGGAAGAGGGAAATCAGGAAAGCAGCTGTGTGCTAACTACCGTCTACTGGCTGTGCAATTAAAAAGGCTGAAAGTGCAATATGAATGCTTTATGGACCACTATCTCCCTCGTAATGAGAGGATGGGGATGAAGTAGCAGGACTGTTGCGAACCCCGGCCCTAGATACACGGGCTCTCGTTTTCCTTTTGCTAAAGGGACGTGAAGTGGTCTTGAATGTGCGTGCTGCGTTCTGCCAGGAGGTGGGGACGCAGAGGTGAGCCGCCGAATGCCGTCTGGCTTAGATGTTTCAGAGAAGCTTTATGAGCAGGCGCAGCGGCTGACGCTGAGGAGGCTGCCGCCGAAGGCCGCCACTCATCCAGAGAGACCAGACCGTTGCAGAAACGTCCACATCCTTTCGGACGCTGAGACACAGAGCTCAGGAGGACAGAAGGCGCACGGAATCTAGAGTGAGAAGGGCAAGTTCTGAGTCCCCCCTCTGCTGCCTATTGGTGGTCAGACCCTCAGTTTCTTCATCTGTGAAGTGGAAATAATAACCTTACTAACTGTGTGATCTTGGGCAAGTTACAGCACCTCTCTGTGCCTCGGCTTTCCCATCTGAAGGTTATGGCAGAGCCGGCCTCAGGGGTTGTTGAGGATTACGTTAGCTAATGGGCGTGAAGGAGCTCTGGTAGCATAGTGCCTAAGGCACTTGACTGCTCACCAGAAGGCTGGCGGTTCAAACCCACCAGCCACTCCTCGGAAGAAAGGTTGGGCAATCCTACTTCCGTAGTGATACTGCCTCGGAAACCCAAGGAGGGGTCGCTATGAGTCGGGGCCGACTCGACGACAAACAACACCAACAATGGGCGTGAAGTGATATCCCTGGGCGGTGCAAGCTTAACAGGCTTGGCTGCTAACTGAAAGGTTCAAATCCACTCAGACGTCCCTTAAAAGAAAGACCTGGTGATCTGGAAAAATCAGCCCCTGAGAACCCCATGGAGCACATTCTGCTGACACAGATGGGGTCACCACGAATTGGCATTGACTCCATGGCAACTGGCTCCTGGTGCATGTGACGTGCTGTGGTCAGTGATTACCATGATGAGCGCTCACTAAGTATATGTGTAACCATCGTTGTTACTACTATTACAAACTCCTCAGCCCTAACTGCAAGAGCCAGACTTCAAACCCAGTCCCCTGCTTCCATTTCCAGGATGCTGGCTGATGTGGGGGGGTCCCTGGATGTTGCAAACAGTTAAGCACTTCGCTACTAACCAGAAGGTTGGGGGTTCGAATCCACCCAGAGGCACCTTGAAATAAAGGTCTGGTAATGTACTTGTGAAAGATCACAGACACTGAAAGATGAGCACGGGAGCAGTTCTCGTTCACCGTGAGATCTCTCTGGGTCGCTATCCACAGGGGGACAGCTGGTTTGGCTTTCTGATTTTTTGTCTGATGTGGGGTGGGTGGGTGGACAGACCTGGGGCCGATTCCCTCTGCTCTGCCTCTCTCCACCTGATGTGCTGGGCAAGTCACGGAACCTCTCTGAGCCCTGTTGTGCTCTTTGGTAAAATAATGGTATTGACTCTGCAGGAGTATCATAAGGTTTAAAGACGGAAGCAAAGGGGCATGCAGTACTTCATGGTGGGTGGCAGTAGCCCTTGGCAGTGAAAGATCTTGTCTAGGGACCAGTGTGGGGAATCACGTCTCGTGGAGAGGCTGCCAGTCTTGGGTTTCTGTCCTCCCAGTGCACCCTGGGGCCAGAGCACGTGCCTGCAGAACTCACCTTTGCTGGACGGTACAAAGTCTTCCTGGGTCCTGCCCACGTCGTTGTTGTTGTTAGGTGCTGTCATGTCTGTTCTGACGCATAGTGACCCTGTGTGCAGCAGAACAAAACACAGCCGGTGACACACCAGCCTCACAGTCCGTGCTGTGCTTGACCCGTGGTCACAACCATTGTGTCGATCCATCTTGTTAAGGTTCTTCCTGTTTTTCACTGACTCCTCTTTACCAGTGCGCTCTGGTGGCATAGTGCCTAAGGCACTTGACTGCTAACCAGAAGGCTGGCAGTTCAAACCCACCAGCCGCTCCTCGGAAGGAAGGTTGGGCAATATACTTCCGTAGTGATACTGCCTCGGAAACCCAAGGAGGGGTCGCTATGAGTCGGGGCCGACTTGACGGCAAACAACAACAACAACAACAACAACCTAGTAATCTGGTGGGAGTTACAAAGACTGTGGCTAGAAAAGCCATACCAAGTAACACTTTAAAGAGGTCTTTGGCTGCAGATTTGCTCAGTGCAATATGTTGTCTGATGTCTTGACTGCTGCTTCTGTGGGTGTTGATTGTGGATCCAAGTAAAATGAAATCCCTGACAACCTCAGTCTTTCTCCGTTTATCATGATGTTATTTATTAGTCCAGTTGTGAGGATTTTTGTTTTTCTTTGTTGAGGTGTAATCCACACTGAAGGCTGTAGCTTTGATTTTCATCAGTAAGTGCTTCAAGTCTTCTTCACTTTCACCAAGCAAGGCTGTGTCATCTGCATATAGCAAGTTATTAATGAGTCTTCCTCCAATTCTGATGCCTTGTTCTTCTTCATATAGTCCAGCGTCTTGGAAGCTGAAGATAATTCAGAAATGGTTGCAACAGTTTACTGACGAGGCACTTGTAGAGATTCAAGCCAGATTCAGAAGAGGATGTGGAATGAGTTGATTTTCACTGATGTCAGATAGATTTTGGCTGAAAGCAGAGAATTCCAGAGAGATGTTTACCTGTGTTTCACTGAGTATGCAAAGGCATTCTAGTGTGTGGGTCATGCCAGATTATGGATAACACTGCAAAAAATGGGAATTCCAGACCATTTAATTGTGCTCATGAGGAACCTGTACGTAGACCAGGAGGGTGTTGTTCAAACAAAACAAGGAGACACTGCATGGTTTTAAGTCAGGAAAGGTGTATGTCAGGATTGTATCTTTTCACCATTACTTATTCAATCTGTGGGCTGAGCAAATAATCCAAGAAGCTGTCAATAATAGTTATCATAAAGAAAACACTAGAGGCCACTGTGCTGGGACCGTGTTGGGCTTGATGAGCAATGTGACAGGTGTCCCTGTGTGGCCTGTGGAATGAGCTTCCTCCTCATCTTCACCGTTCAGATGAGAAGTGGGATGGGTGATGACCCACGTGTGCAGCGCCGGGAGGTGGCAGGGCTGACTGCACCCAGCACTATCTGCTGCTTTTGCTGACGCTCTGGAACATTCCAGAGACCTCCCAGCTCTCAGTCACTGACTCCGTACCCCTTGCACGTCCTTGATCCTAGCATCACAGACCTGTTGCTCCCACGAGGCAGGTATGCAGTGGCATTGCCTTGTGGCTTTGAAATGTTATTGTATAATGAATATAAACAGCACTGGTGACTTTAATCATTGTAGACTCAACAAAGTTCATTCCATTCACAAGGCTACATCCTTCACCATTGTCTGCTTTCAAAAGTTTCCATCATCCCAAACAGAAGTAAGCTTTCTTTGGCACCCTCTTAAAGGAGGCTTGGTGGCACAATAGTTAAATGTTTGGCTGAAAGGCTGGCTGTTCGAACCCACCCAGGTCTCCATGGGAGAAAAGATCTAGCAATCTGTTTCTGAAAAGGTGACCGCCTAGGAGACCCTGTGGAGCAGTTGTGCTGTCACATAGGGCTGCTGTGAGTCAAAATCAGCTTGATGGCACCCAGAGCAACAATGCCCACTTAGCAGGAACTCTCTCTCAGCTCCTCCTACCCCACCCCTGGGAACCTCTAAGAAGGTTTCTGTCTCTATGGATTCTACGTGTTTCCTGGAAGTGGAACCGCATAGTGTTTGCTCTTTTGTGTCTGGCTTATTTCACTAAACCAAACTCACTGCCATCAAGTTGGATCTGACTCATAGCGACCCCTCCTTGGGTTTCTGAGGTGGTCTCACTGCAGACGTAGATTGCCCAACCTTCCTTCCAAGGAGTGGCTGGTGGGTTTGAACTGCCAGCCTTCTGGTTAGCAGTCAAGTGCCTTAGGCACTACGCCACCAGGCCTCCTAGATATTTCCTGTAAATGGAACCATATAATATTTGCTCTTTTGTGCCTGGCTTATTTCACTCAGCATAATGTTTTTAAGGTTCATCCACACCGTAGCCTCTATCAATACTATATTTCTCTTTATAGCTAATATCCCCTTGTGTGCATGAACCCATTGATCTGTTGGTGGACTCTTGGATCATTTCTGCCTTTTGGCTATTGTGAACATTTCTGCTGTGAACACTAGTTTGGAGTACAAGTATCCAGGCTTTCAGGTCTTTGGGGTATATACCGAGGAGCGGAATTGCTGATTCATATGATTGATATATATATATATATTCAAATTTTATTGTGATTTGGGTGAAAGTTTACAGAGCAAATTCATTTTCCATACAGCAGGTCACATACACTTTGTCTCATGACATTGACTGCAATTTCCCACAACGCAACAGCTCTCTTCCCACTTCCTCCCCCTAGTTACCTCTCCCCTGTGTCCTTCCTTCCCATGCACTCCTGCCCCCTGAGCTGTCTCCCTATGTAAAACCTACCCTTCTATTCTCCCATGATTCATGTCTCCAAGAACTGTATCTATGTAATGTAAATGTCCAGCTCATATACCTGTCTTGTATGACTAGAAGCCCCAGGAGTGGGTTCAATTCTAGACCTGATGGGCAGCTAGGGGCCATAGTCTCAGGGGTTCCACCAGGTTCTATTAGTCCAGCAAACCTGTCCACCCAACACCCTTTTTTTTTTTTTTTTAATGATTTTGGGGTTTGTTCCACATTTTCTCCCACTCTGTCCAGGAATCTCCTACGTAGACCATATGATCATTTTGTGCTTCATTTTTTTGAGGAGCTGTCAAACTGTTTCCTCCAGCAGCTGCACCCCTTTACATTCTCACCAGCCACCCAGAAAGTTCCCATTTCTCCCCACCTTGTGGTTTTCATCGGAATTTTCCACTGATTCCCACCTCCAGAGTTATATGCCCACAAACTCATGTTAGGTTCAGTAGAATGTTCTGTTCCATGTGCCTGAATTCGTGGGTTAACTCATTGGAGCTGGATGAGGAAGGTTGATTCTGGGTGCCATACAAACCTCTTCTGCCAAAACCCTTCTGGGAAGGACTGACTTCTTACTTGGGACCTGCAGTCCCTAACGTCCCCCCTGGGGAGGAGGGTCAGGATCTCACTCACACTTCTTTTTACCCAGGTAATGCATTTCTCGGGAGCTCTGGTAGCGTAGTGCCTAAAGCACTTGACTGCTAACCAGAAGACCGGCGGTTCAAACCCACCAGTCACTCCTCAGAAGGATGGGCAATCTACTTCTGTAGTGATACTGCCTTGGAAACCCAAGGAGAGGTGGCTGTGAGTCGGGTCTGACTCGATGGCACATAACAACAACAATGATGTGTTTCTCTGTTTTCAGTTGAGAGAGAAAATGTGCAGAAGAGGACCTTCACTCGGTGGATAAATCTACATCTAGAAAAGGTAAGACAGACACCTGGGGACTTGTGAAGGGATGGACTATGTCTGGCTGGGGAATGGGGGCCCTGATTTCCATTGTTTCTTTTGGTCATTCTCTTCAACATTGTTGAGTATCTCTTCACTACCAAATGCCTTTCCTATGTGCTGTCTTCTCTCCTCTCCTTTGAAGAGATACAAGAGTAATGGTTGACTGTCCTTATACCACACCTGTTGGGTACAGGAGTAACTGTTGACTGTCCTTACCCCATATGAGTTGGGTATAAGAGTAACCATTGATTGTCCTTACCCCACACCAGTTGAGTACAAGAGTAACTGTTGACTGTCCTTACCCCACACCAGTTGGGTACAAGAGTAACCATTGACTGTCCTTACTCCACACCAGTTGGGTACAAGAGTAACTGTTGACAGTCCTTACCCCACACCAATTGGGTACAAGAGTAACCATTGACTGTCCTTACTCCACACCAGTTGGGTACAAGAGTAACTGTTGACAGTCCTTACCCTACACCAGTTGGGTACAAGAGTAACTATTGACTGTCCTTACCTTGCACCAGTTGGGTACAAGAGTAACTGTTGACTGTCTTTACCCCACACGAGTTGAGTCGATTTTGACTCATGGTGACCCATGTTGCAAACTAGAACCACTCCATAGGATTTTCTGGGCTGTGACCTTTTGGGAACAGATTACCAGGCCTGTCCTCCAAGGCACCTCTGAGTAGATTCAGACCACCAGCCTTTCTGTTAGGAGTCAAGCACTTAACCATTCGCACCACTCAGGGACATTGACTGCCCTAACCCCACCTGACCCACTGCTATTATGTCGATTCTGATTCATAGTGACCCTCTAGGACAGAGTAGAACTGCCCCATAGGGTTCCCAAGGCTGTAATCTTTATAGAGCAGTTCTGGTGGTGCCGTGGTTAAAGCATTCAGCTGCTAACCAAAAGTTTGGCAGCTGGAACCCACCAGCCGCTCCGTGAGAGAAAGTTGAGGCAGTCTGCTTTTGTTAAGACTGATTGCTTTGGAAACCCTGTGGGACATTTCTGCTTTGTCCCCAGGGTCACAGTGTGTCAGAATCGACTGGATGACAATGGGTTTGGTTTAATTTTCACAGAAGCAGATGGCCACAGCTTTACTCCCGCACTGCAACTGGTAGATTCAAACTGCTGACCTTTTGGTTGACAGCCAAACACTTAACCACTGTGCCACCAGGGCTCCCCTGACAGCCATTGTGGGTGACAACGAAAAAGAGAAAGATTCTTGTAGGAAAGAATGAAAATCATTGGAAAACAGGGAACAAATCATGGCTTTTGGAGAATGGAGTTCTTGACTGAAACTCTGATTCTCGGCCCTGAGCTCTGGGCCCGCCATCTCCTGTACCTGTGTGTCCCTCTTCCGATCTAGGATGGCTTCCACACTGGGCCACTTAGCCAGAGGGACCCTGAACTCTTTGGGTGGAGGGTCATGGGTCGCACAGGAAGCACTGTGAATCACTTACTGGTTGTTTGGATCCTTGGTGCATTGTCGGCGGTGTTCACAAAGTGAAGTGTTATTTTTGGACCGAGGAAGCCTGCTCCCAGCACCTGTGCTCACTGAACACTTAAAGAAATGCCTGCTGAGTGTCAGGGTTGCTGCGAGGTCCAGCTGGAGCCACCGCAAAGCAGTTCTTTCTTTTTAATTACGAAATAAATACAAAAAAGTTACAAGCACCCATGCACCCAAGCATCCCGAGGATGGACCACTGTTAGCATTTGTTATCAGCTCAAGGATCTCTCCAGTCGCCAGGCTTCTGTCACCCCCCGTTTTTCAGGGCAGGTGGCTAGCACCCATGCTGAAGATAAATCAGGTAGCACCTGAAAGCAGTGCCTAATAAACAGGGTAAAATTAACAGCCCCGTTTCCAACCTTGAGGCTTTCAAGACCAACTTCTCATGTAAAGGAAACCCAGGAAGCCCTTGGTGGATTGGGCTTAGCTGCAATTTGAAGGCTGTCAGAAATATTTACTGAGTCCCTGGCTTCTGAGCAAATTCCTAATTTACCAAAGGAGTTGGTTCACAAGACAGCCCTGGCGGTGCTGTTTATTCGGTCATACCGATCTCGTGAAGCCCACGGAACATTCCAGGCCTGAGGAGTTTACACTGGAGCGTTCTCAACCCTTCCTCCTGCCCTCTTGCCGGATGGACGTCGGCCAAAGCCGTGTTTGCTGCCGCTGCAGCTGAGACTCGCATGGGAACTGCTGATGGAAACGACCTTTCAGGTTTCACTCACGGATGAGGCTTGCCACAGCTGGGCCTGGTAACTGGAACGTCTGAGAGCCTGTTTGTCAGCGGGTATTCTGTTGAGGTCTCGCCTTTTCTGCCTTGCATTAGCAAGAATAACATCTCCCTCAGCACCTTGGTAACCTGATGCCGTCCTCTACAGCATGGCAGGTACCCAAGGAGCTGGGGGGTGGGGTGCAAAGAAAACATGTGCCTTTGGGTTCAAAGTCACTGTTGCCCTTAGAACCAAGGCCTTTTCTGTGCACCTGTGGGTGGAAGGGGGCTTGTATCAGGGGTAAGGAGATGCCATCTTCCTTAAGGAAAAATACAGCGAAGACCCTTGTGGCCTGGATGGGAAGGATGTGGGTGGAAAAGGGCAGCTGGCTTAGTCACTGCATTGCCAAGATTGCCCTCACCCTGTGTCTCTGGCAGGTCCTGAGTGGCTGAACGGTCAAGCACTGGCCTATTAACCAAAAGTTGTTGGTTCAAACCTACCCGCACATGAGGTAGAGGAAAGGCCTGGCAGTCAGCTTCCAAAAAGCCTTGAAAACCCTGTGGAACTCCATTCCACTCTCACACATGGAGACGCCAGGAGTCGGAGTTGAGTTAGTGGCAACCAGTTTGGTTTGGTTTGGGGTGTCTGGCTGACCAAGGGGCACCATCACCTCCTTTCCTCCCACCTCCCCAGTTACCCCTGTCTCATCTGTGCCTATTAGTCTCCAGTTGTACCGGGAGCAGAGGTAGCACCCAACCTAACTGTCCTAACTTGGCCAGGTCCCTCAGAGCAAAAGCACAGGTGATTGCTGTCTGGGGGCAGGGCTTGTTAAGTATGCAGATTCCTGGGCTCTGCTCCCCACGGTCCTATTGTGGCAATTGTGAAGTCGCTTCTGTAGAGGAGCTACTTCCAAGCTCATTCAGTCAACAGAAGGAGCCCCCGGCGTGGTACAGACAGTGAATGCCGCACCCTGCAAGGATGGGGGTTCCAGTCCAGCTGTAGGCACCTTGCAAGAAAGGCCTGACACTCTGCTTCCAGAAATGAGCCACTGAAAACCCTATGGGATGCAGTTCCACTCGGACACACATGGGGGCACCAGAAGTCAGAACCCGCTCTGCGGCAAGTGGTTACTGGCTAGTCCACAGAAACCTTTCTTTAAGCACAGTGTTATCAGGAACCCTAAAGAAGGTCAGTAAGAACCAGCCCTGTCTGGTTGAAGGGGCTGCAGTGAGACCCACTGCTTCTTGAGCCCCACTCTGCCCGTAGAGGGTGCCCTGAAGCAGCTCTGCTGTCTAGGGTTCCCCAGAACACAGTTTGCAAATCACTGCCCTGGGGCTGCTGAGTCAGCAGCTCCTGCCAGTCCTGTGGACTGCAGGCCACGCTCACCCAAGCTCTGGGTGGACCACACAGGCACTCAAACCTAGACAGCTGACCTCTCCAAGTCCGGACCCTGAGAAAAAAGCCACTCTGGGCGTCTGGTTCATTCCCACTCGGGCCCGCGGCACACTCCAGGTCCTGCTGGGAGAGCCGGCTTTCCCAGGGTGAGGGGGCAGCCTGGGCAACTGGGGCTGGGGCTGTGACTTACGGATTCGGGGAGCCCAGGAAGGGAAGTGAGTGGAACGGAAGATGATGACTCCATGGGGGCTCGTTATGCAGGGACAGCTGGTGAGGCCGTCTCCCCTCCGCTGCCCCACAGCCTTCTCACTAAGGTGGGCGCTCCCCAGCCCCGCAGGCGGGAAGCCGCTTGTAGTAAGCGGGTTTCACCGATGGCCTTTGTGACAGTGCCGAGGCCAGGTGCTGCAGTGGGCTTCTGACCTGCATCCTCTCACCCCGGTCTAGCCCCTGTCCTCGGATGGGGTCAGATCCTAACCTAGCCTTGCAGACAAGGACCTCAGGCTGGGAGGCCAAGCCCCAGGTGAGGGTTGAGCAGGGATGTGAACTTGAACTCGGATGTGTCTAATAATTCCCTTGCTTCTTAGGGAGTGGATGAAGGGTGGATGTGGGATACATGCGGGGATGACGTGGGTTTATCCCAGGAACCTGGATTCTGGAAGGAGTCGGGGAGTGGTATTCAGCAGATTAACTTATTTTTAGGCGTTTAGTTAGTTTGATTTGTTATGACATGCATGTATGAGGACCACAGCTCAGTAGTACTGTTAAATACGTATGCATGCCAATAAACCTCTTGGCCTTCTGAGATCCTCACAGACTCACAAGCTTGGACTCCCTCCCCCTCAACCCATGTCCACTGCTCATCCGGCCAGCTGTTTATCTATCCCCGTGACCTTCCCACACCAGCCACCTCCCTGGCTGCCTTGGCCAAAGGTCCTACCACCTCCAGAGTCAGACTAAATATTGATGCAGAGGCAGCAGGAACCTCAGGGCCTGCCCCTACAAAGACCTGAGCAGTGTTGGGGATGGGAGGCCTGGCTGCCATGCAGAGTGAGGTTCAGAGGGTACCGAGCAGGGTCGTGTCACCATGCCAGGGATCTGCGAGGCTCTTGCTTTCAGCCAGTGTGATCTGATACGGGAAACTGGTCTTTACCAAAGAGCTGATCGGACCAAACTCTGGGCCCATCACTGCCTCTGGCCCCCCAGACGTGAAGGGCAGGACTTGCCTGTGTCGTTTCATGTGAGCCCTAGTAGAACATCTTTATTCTACAGAAGGCTGCCAGCAGGGCATGCCCATCCAGTCCGTGCTTAAGCAGAAATGTGGTCCAATCTTGGGGGCATCTGAGATCTCAGGCTGGAAGGGTCCCCAAAGGTCACTTGCCCAACAGGCTGCATGATGCTGAATGTCCTCCTCAGCTTTCCAGCCTAGTGACTGGGCACCCCTGCCTGGGCACCGTGTGTATGGGCCTGTGGACAGAGCTGAAAAGTGGGAAGTTTTCCTTGAGCTGAACTCTGCATCTCTGAAACAGTGTTGTGGATTACACGGGTCACTAATTGACTGTTTTCTTTCCTCTTCTCCCACAGTGCAGCCCTCCACTAGAAGTTAGAGACTTATTCGTGGATATACAAGATGGCAAAATCCTAATGGCTTTGTTAGAAGTTCTGTCTGGGCAAAATCTGGTATGTATGTCACAGAAGGGTCAGGAAGAACAAAGGCAGACGCGGTGCAAGGTCTTTTTCAGCACAGCTTCACATGTGCGTGCATATCCTTACACACGTACATTCCATAGCAAAGGAACTTTGAGGGTGACATGCCTTTCCCGGCAACTGAAAGTGACAGAATTCTGTGTAGCCAAGCACTTTTTTTAAGCAAACATATTTTGGTAAGAAAGTAAATTAATCACCAGTGTTTTCTGTGAGTCTGTTAACTCTGAAGATTAGAACTAGATCATTAACATGTCGCTGGTGTTGTTGGGTGTCATCAAGCTGGTTTCAACTCCTGGCAACCCCACGTGACAGATTAGAACTGCCCCATTGGGTTTTCTTGGCTGAAATCTTTACAGAAGCAGCTCGCTACGTCTTTCTGCTGCTGGCTGCATTCGAAACCCCCACCTTTTGGTTAGCAGTCTAGTGCTTAACCGTGGGGCCACAGGGCTCCCAAAGTTCAGCTTGGCAGCCTTATATGAACTAGAATAGGTAAGAATCAAGGTGATTGAGGAGAAAGACCTCTTACCATCTGTTCTGGTTCCCTAGTGCCACTCTGACAAGAATATACCACAAATGGGATGGTCTTAACAAACAGGAGTTTATTCTCTTACAGTTTAGAGGATTTAAGTCCAAGTTCAAAGTGCCAGGCTCTAGGGGCTGGGTGAAAGCCCCTCGAGCTTGGGGTCCAGCTCTGCCTCCTGTTCCCGGCCCACTGGAGCTAGAGGCTTCTCTTCACTCAGACAGCTGCTGGCTGCTGAGGCTGAGAAGCCCAAGGTTGACAAGTAAAAAGGCACAGTCCCGATATTACCAAACCACACAGCAGGCCATTTGAATAAATAAAGTCCATTGAAAGTCCCAAGGTCGGCAGAGCATGGCAGGCTGCTGAACAATGACACAGCTACACGCAGGGTCCAAGCGTGCCATAAACTAGAGACCATTCCCAAAGCTCCTGTTTATATACAGGAAGCAGACCACATAACCAAAGGCAGCTACTCAGCTGCTTGTGGTAGAGCCCACCCTGGAGTTGATTACCAGTCTCATCATGGGGAGTAACTACATCCAGCTGCCCAGCCACTTAACCAGGCACAGCCAAGTTGCCACAGAAACATAACCACCACACCATCCAAATTCTATCATCAATCAAGGCTAAAAGTAGAACAGCTGGCTTCTAGAACATTCCTGTCCTGCTAATCCGACTGAATCAACTACCCAGTCTTGACACTCAGGCCTCTGTGGACTTGAGTCAGACCTCTCCAGGTTGCATGTGGCCCCTGTGTGCAGATGGCCCCTCCCCCTCCCCTACAGCAGAGTTCCTCAGCCTTGGCCCTGTTGACGTGGGGTCAACCTTGTTTGCTGCAGGGGCTGCCCTGTACTGCAGGGCACGTAGCAGCATTCCCAGCCTCGACCCGCTGGATGCCGGGCACACCCCCAGGGTATTTGTTTGCATAGCTGATCTCCCAGTGAACCATCAGCATGGTGCCTAGGGCTTCCTGGAAAAGCATATTCCAGGCCCTTGTCTCATTTCCCACGTTCCAGCTCCCCATTTGATTGCCAGCTCACATGAAATTAAAGAGTGCAAACCCTTTCCTTCACACCTGGGGAAACTGAGGCCCCGAGAGGCTGGGGGTCAGATCAGCCGTTTGGTAAAGACCAGTTTCCTGGATCTCACCACACTAGTTGAGGCCAAAACACCCCATATCCCCAGTATGACCACCAAAAATGTCTCCAGACACTGCCGAACATTCCTGGGGACAGATGATCTGAAATGCCGGCAGTGTTGAGGTTGAGAGACGCTTCTCCAGGGTCAGCTGTTTGATTTGGCCAGGTGACTCTCTGAGGCGCAGCGATGGGGTTGCAACTCTAGGTATGTCTGGGCAGCTCTGTCAAACCATTTCCTAGCCAGCGTGAGCCTCCTTGGTCAGTTTTGAACTGCAGGTTTGGGGTCAAGAGCCCCTATGGCTGTTCTCAGATCTAAGTGGCTTCAGCTCTCCTCCCTTTGTTTCCCCAGTAGCAGAGTGGGAGGCGCCCACCACCACACCTGGCGTGCTGTGTTATGTGCACAGCTGCACCGCGGCTTATAATGAAGGGCACTCTCTGCAGTGAAAACAGTGGTTGGTTTCAGAGCAGGTTCCATGAGCATCAGCATGGTCCCCAAAAGGCTTCTGGGAAAAGTGCCTCCTGGCCCTTATCTTGTGTTCCCACCAGGGTTTCATCCTTTCATTCCCATTCAACCCCCTGCTAAGAATTTGCATTTCCACCCCAGAGAGACTGAATCAGAATTGACATTTTAACCAGATTTCCTGGTGGCTCTTACATAAAATCTATAGACCCCGGGTCACTCTTATAGATTATTCATAAGAATCGCCTGGGGAATCTTGTTAAAATGTCAATTCTGATTCAGTCTCTGGGGTGGAAATGCAAATTCTCAGCAGGGGACTGAACCGTTCAAAGCCCTGGTTCCCACAGCCATTTGCTCTGTGGCTACCGAGTCGTTGGAGGTGATATAGTCCAGTAGGTGGGGTGGTGAGTCCTCCCAGCCAGGCAGGAACAGGCCTCAGTGTACCCCATAGCTTGGCAGGCCACACCTAGTGGGACAGATACCCAGTGGTTTGCTTCGGAGTGTAAGCTCCCACCTCGAGGACAGGGAGGAGATTCAGTTCAGGATCAGTTAGGCCCCTGGGTGACACAAATGGTTTGCATTCAACTACTATTCTAAAGGTTGGTAGTTCAAAGCCACCAGCGAGCAGCACCGTGGAAGAAAGGCCTGGCAATCAGCTTCCATAAAGATTACAGCCTAGAAAACCCGACGGGGTAGTTTTGCTCTAACACACGGGTAAGCACGAGTCAGGATCAACTCACAGCAAGGGGCTTGGTTTTTCAGCTGATGGCACTCTCAGGATGTAGACTCACGTGTCCAGACTATCCACCTCTGCCAACAGCTCTTTCTCTTTTCTTTTGACCTGGGGTAACTGTCCACAAAGCTCTTGGCTGGAAAACAGAAACATCTGTGGCCGTCAGGGAGGGTCTTGCTGGGTGATTTAGCAGCTGTGCGGTGATGCGTGTAGCTGATGCTCCCTCCAGACAGAGCCCTCAGTGCTGCAGGCGAGTTGTTCCTGACGGTCTCTGGAGGCGGGAGGGAAACAAAAAGCCAGGAGCTGGGTCAGAGAGGAAGTTCTGACAAATTTGTCCCTCATTTAACCTACTTTGGTTCCGCTCATTCACCAGCTCAAAGTGAGCGAAGTCCCATGTATCATAAATAAGGGCTACCCTCCAGGGCCTCGTGAGAGTACAGTATATTTCCCAGGACGCCTGTGTGGGTTTGGATCCCGTCCAGGTGGGATTTAGCCGTGAACCCTTATCTCTCTCTCTCTCTCTCTCTCGAAATTAATGCAAAAGATGTAAAGAAAAAGAAAGGTATAGCTAGAGGCATTTTGAAGTGCCCGAGTTCGATTCCAGCCAGCATCCCTTACATCCTGCTGTGATGCTGAACGAGTTTCAGTGGAGCTTTCCAGACAAAGACTAGGAAGGAAGGCCTGGCAACCTATTCTTAAAATCAGCCGGTGGAAACCTATGATCACAATGGATTCACACCCAGTCATGGGGACGGGGCAGGACCAGGCGGCGTTTTGTCCTGTCAAGTGCGGGGTCACCACAGTGGCAGCTAAGCACCACCCCGTGTTGCTTTTGTTTTTCAGCTACATGAATACAAATCCTCGTCCCATCGTATTTTTCGGTTGAACAACATAGCGAAAGCACTGAAGTTTTTGGAAGATAGCAATGTAAGTATTGGAAACACCTGGTCAATTCAAGGTGTGTTTTTGCTTTTATTGATGAAACGGGTGGAAATTGCAGGTTACTGCTGGTCACAAGAGGCCCGTGAGAAGGGGACTCTGCTAAAGTGGTCGAATTAAACTCAGTTTAACTTAACAGAAGTCCCTCAAGTGACCCATGTGGGAGAGGTACCCTCTCTGACTCCCACCACCCCTTCATGTCATCCATCAGGATTCAAATGCCCGTGGGCGCTCAGCCACAGAAGGGGGGGACTCTTTCCAATGTTTTTTTTTAGAATTTACTTTACATATTATTTTTCCTTTTCAATTCTTTCGACTAAGTATCGTGGACCTGTCAGCATGTCCCATGTTCTCATGGAACTCACACAGTGAGATCCAAAGGGGACAAAGGCCACGTGAGCCTGGGAAACAAAAATCACAAACATTTCCCTTTGCTATAACTTTCTAGACTTGGGTGCGACTTTTCTGTTTTCAACTTTGTATCCTTCAAAAAAGGCCAGTGGTCCTAGCAGGCTGAACTCTGCAAAGCTTCTCTTTGGTCTGGGTCAGCACCACTCCCCACCCCACACACATCCAGCCCCACTGATGGCACAGCTTCACTGGGGAGTGGGGGTCACTCCAGCTGTTGATGTCAGCCTGGCTGATTGAGGCAGGAAAGGCTGTGTTGAAAGGACAGCCAAGTGTCTCACAGGGTGACCTGAAAGACGGGCAGTCAGGGCACCCAGGCATGCTCAGTGCCAGGACCACCGCAGAGCCCCTCCTCCAGGGCTGTGTGGACCCAGCTGCGCTGCACGCCCACGCCACCCCAGTTCCTGGCATCACCTCTCAGTCACACTCACCAAGATTCACCGTCACGGGCAGCAGCGTCTGGCTCCCAGCTCACATCCCAGCTGCCAGCGGGGAGAGGAGAGCATGTCTGTGGCCTTTTGGCTCCTGAAGAGAGTGAGCTCTGCCCCACATTAGAGTTACACTGGGGAGATCCCTGGGCATACGGGAGCAGTTCAGACGGTGAAGCACATTGCCTGTCCACTAACACGGCTCCCCTTTCTGTAGGACCAGTTACTCCACCGACCTCCCCTCTAACATGGAGGTTAGGAGCTCAGTGTCAGGGGCACTGCCACTGTCAATCCCTGTCACCCCCTCACTCCCTTCCAGCAGATGGCAAGAGAAGGGCACCACTCTGAGCACCCCACACGCGTGGATTGGGGCTGTTCATAATAAAAGGGCGTTCCCAGGTGGTGCAGACCAGGCACGTGCTTGGCTGCTCGCTGACAACGCTGGAGGTGGGATCCACCCCGAAGTGCGTCAGAACGAAGGCCTGGCAGTCTGCTTCTGGAAAAAGTCAGGCTGAAAACCCCGATGCGGCACAGTCCTACTCTGGATGCGTCGGGTCACTGTAAGTCAGAGTCAAGCCCGTGGCACTTTGTGCTGGAAATAATAAAACTGCTCTGGAGCGTGGTTGAGGATCAGACAAGCCATCCAGGGAAGAGTGCTTCCCATGCCGGAACAGGAGGGCTCTCCTGAGTCGACCAGTCCCTGGCTGTCCTCATCTGATTCTGCAGCTCCGGGACCAGCGGCGGCCTGACTCCCACGGGCCTGTCTTTGTTTCCATGTGGTGTCATGGACACTGGCCTAAGGTGTTCGTCATCCTTCCTTCCGTCTCCCCTGCTCTAAGTGAGCCTCTCCTCTCCCCTGGCCCTGCAACAAGGGGTCTGCTGTGAAGAAGGGCTCTGCGTTGGTTGGAATCTCCCGCGGCCTTCACGGGTTTGCTTGCAGCAGTGAGCAGGACACATTTACTGGTGGCTCCCATGGTCCTGAGCTGTGCTCTCCTGGAGGCACAATGGCTGCAGCCACGTCTGTGGCTCTTCAAGGAGCTTACTGACACGTGGACCACGTGACGCACTGTGCACCAGGGGTATCTTGAGGAGCCAGGATCCTGCAGACAGAAGACCACCAGCTGAGCCTGGGGAAGTCAGGGTGGGAGGGACATTCCAGGTAGGGGCTGGGCCCATGCACAGGTGCGGTGATGTGGAAGGGCTGGCCCGGACCCATGCACAGGTGTGGTGATGTGGAAGGGCTGGCCCGGACCCAGACTTGGCATTTGGCAGTTATCCTGCCAAAAAGATCTGGAAGCTTCCAAATGTGTGTGTGGTGTGTCAACTTTGTGCCTCACTGGCCCCACCTACCAGGCAGGTAGTGGGTGAATGGCCCTGTGGGAAGGTGAGCCCAGGTGAGTAAGACAGGTGGAAACAGAGGCAGACTCTGGTCCATTCGTCAAACCCACAGAACACTGAAATGGGCCCCTGTCGGCCCCTTCCGGTAGCTCTGTCCCAGCTCGAGGGAGGATGGGCCATGCTGGCTCTGCTCAGTCATAGCAGTGTCCAGGTTCCAGGCCCAAGGTGGTGCCAGCAGGGGCGACATCCAGGTCTTATTGGCTCCTGGTGTCACGTGCTGTGAGACAGCTGTGGGGCTGCCCCCTGTCCCCTTTTCTCCCACCACCATATCCCACAGAGTCCCAGGTCCGGGCCTAGCTCTGGGACCTCTCAGATCTCGGCTTCCTCGTCTGTGAAATGGGTATAAGTAGACCTCTCTCATGGGTGCTATGAGCATTCATAGACTCACCCATGGAAACTACAGGTTGTGGGGACTCTACAGGGGGCGCCACTGTCACACTGTCCCAGCTCTGAGTTCCCACCTGTGCTAACAGCACCAGCCCGTGGAGGAGAAGGAACATTCCAGTAAGCCAGGTGGCACACTTGTATTTCAGCCTGGCAAAGCCAACTGAGTAAGGAAGAGGAGGGGGACATTGTCCCTAAAGCTCTTGACTGAAATAAAAAAAAATTGAAAAAGCTCGCTGCCGACAAGTTGTATCCAACTCATAGCGACCCCTCCTTGGGTTTCCAAGGTGGTATGACTACGCAAGTAGATTGCCCAACCTTCCTTCTGAGGAGTAGCTGATGGGTTTGAACCGCCAGCCTTCTGGTTAGCAGTCAAATGCCTTAGGCACTATGCTACCAGAGCTCCTGACTGAGGTCTGTTAAATTGTCTATTTACCACCAAAAAGTAAACCGAGACTAGGTGCCCAAGGCATGGTGTCTCAGTTCTCTGGTGCTGCTGTAATAGAAATATCACAAGGGGGTTTCTTTAACAAACAGAAGTTTATTCTTTCATACTTTAGGAGGCCAGGAGTTCAAATTCAGGACACCCACTCCAGGGGAAGACTTTGTCTCTCTTTTGGCTCTGGGGGAAGGTCCCTGTCATCAGTCTTCCCCTGGGTCTGTGAGGTTCTCAGCAGACGGACCCTGGGTCAGAAGGACACACTCCACTCCTGGTTCTTCTTTCTTGGCAGTAGGAGGTCTCTCTGGTTCCTGCTTGTTTGCTTAATCTCTTTAATGTCTCAAAAGAGATTGACTCAAGATACAACTTGATTGTGTGGACTATATCATGCCTCATTAACATGTTGTTCTTGTTGTTAGGTGCTGTCAAGTCAGCTCTGACTTATAGCAACCCTGTGTGCAACAGAATGAAACTCTGCCCAGTCCTTGCTGTACCTGAACCCCTTGTTGCAGCCACTGTCTCAATCCATCTCATTGAGGGCCTTCCTCTTTTTTGCTGACCCTCCACTTTACCAAGCATGATATCCTTCTCCAGGGAATGGTCCTTTCTGGCAACATGACCAAAGTAGGTGAGACGGAGTCTGGCCATTCTCCCTTCTAAGGAGCATTCCAGCTGCACTTTTCCAGGACAGACTTATTAGTTCTTCTAGCAGTCCATGGTACTTTCAGTGTTCTTCGCCAACACCACAAGTCAAAAGCACCAACTCTTCTTTGTTCTTCCGTATTCATTGTCCAGCTCTCACATGCATATGAGGTGATTGAAAATACCATGGCTTGGGTTAGGTGCACCTTAGTCTTCAAAGGGACATCTTTGCTCCTCAGCACTTGAAAGAAGTCTTTTGCAACAGATTTGCCCAGTGCAGTACGTCATCTGATTTCTTGACTGCTGCTTCCATTGGTGTTGATTATGGAACCAAGTAATATGAAATCTTTGACAACTTTATTCTTTTTTTCCATTTATTGTGATACTGCTTATTGGTCCAGTTGTGAGGATTTTTGTTTTCTTTATGTTGAGGTATAATCCATATTGCACACTGTAATCTTTAATCTTCATCAGTAAGTGCATCAAGTCATTTTCATTTTCAGCAAGCAAGGTTGTGTCTTCTGCATATCACATGTTGTTAATGAGTCTTCCCCTCATTAACACAGCTGCCTCTCATCTTGCCTCATGGCATCATAGAGGTGAGGTGAGGATTTACAGCACATAGGATAATTACATCAAATCACAAAGTGGAGAATAATTACAAAATACTGAGAATTGTGGCCCAGGCAACTTGATGCATATTTTTGGAAGACACCGTTCAGTCCGTGAGACAAGTTCTTTGAGAATATCTGCACGTTGGGGCCTTGGCCCCAAAGGTGCAGTCACCATCTTTCCTGACCCGGGTTCTCTGTGCCCCATGGCCAAGAGCATGCTTCATTCTCCAAATGACCCTCCGTGGGCCACATCAATGCCGGCCCCTCCTCCTGGTATGAGCTCTTGAATTCCAAAAGCTGTCTGACCTCCAGGGGCAGAGTGCCATCTGATTCCTTGCAGCTCTACTGGGCAGTTCAGTCCCTTTTTTACTCCACAAACCTGAGTACAGGGTCACAGCTGTCAGTGACCATGTGGGTTTACCTCCGGACAGGAGTGGAGTCTGGATGATAAAGTTGAGTGTTCATGCCGATGACACTCTGAACTAGACCATGTTCACTAAGCCACAAAGACAGAGGGAGCTGTCAGGGCCTGAGGCTTAGGTGCCCCAGAGGCCGAGGATGGCAGGCGAGTCATCCTGTAGGATGCACTTGTGACGAACGTGGATGGAAAGTTGGGCCTGAATGGGTTCGAGTGTGGGGTTCACAGGATCACTTTCCTGCCTGTGACAAGCCAGTGTCTTTGGAATTACATTCTTGGCATCAGCATGCAAAGCAGACCTCAGCCCAGGAACTCAGAAGTTCTGCACTCCACTGGATGAGCCCAGGCCTGACGGATCGCAGTGCTGGAAACCCTAACAACTGACACGATCAGAAAACAGTGCCAAAAACATTTTAAAGGCCGTGAGGGAGAAGGAATGAGGAAAGACATGGAGGACATGTTTTCTTTCCTGGGTCTTCTAGGCGGCATTTTGCAGGGTGGGCTTGAAAGTCTCCTGGGATTACCTCATTTCCCTTCACTTCACCCCTGCAAGGGGCGTTTACATTGGTGAAGAGTTGTTAAGAAAAAAGAGAAAGGAAATGTAGCAGAGACTGGATGTAGCCTCCTCTCTGGCCCTTTCCAGAAGAAGTTTGCAGACCCCCTGCTCTGTGTACCCAGGAGTCCCTGGGTGATACAAATGATTAAGTACTTGACTACTAGCCCGAAGATAAGCAGTTTGAGCCAACCCAGAGGCACCTTGGAGGACAGTTGATCTGTTTCCAAAAGGTCACAGCCTTGAATGACTTATAGAGCACTGGTCTACACTCCACACGTTGTTATGTGCCATCAAGTCGGACACATGGGTTTACCCTAAATTGAAGTCAACTCAGTGGCAACTAACAACAACACCAAAAACTCTTCATACTTAGATTGGGTTTTCAGAACAAAATGATGGCTTAGGGTCCAAACCCACAGCCCTTGAGTCAATCCTGACTCATAGTGACCCTATAGGACAGAGTAGAACTGCCCCATAGAGTTTCCAAGGCTGCAAATCTTTAAGGAAACAGACTGCCTCGTCTTTCTCCTATAGAGCAACTGGTGGGTTTGAGCCACTGACCTTTTAGTTAGCAGCCAAGCACTTAAACCACTGCACCACCAGGGCTCCTGTGACTTTAGCGTGCACCAGAATGACCTGGAAGGCTTGTTAGAACACAAATTGCTGGCATGGCCCCAGAGCTTTTGACTCAGTGGGTTTGCGGTGGAGATGCCAGACTGCATTTCCATCACGTTGCCAGGCAGTGCTGATGTTACTAGTCCAGGGACCACACTTTGTGATTTGCCAAGAGCATCATTCTGTGGTCAGAGCATGATTAAGTGAATAGATCGTTCTCTCAGGATTTCGGGAAGAGATACACTTTAATGAATCAGTGGGATATTCGTAAGAATGCAGAAACTCTGCAGATAATCCTGGTCCCAGCACAGTATTTCTCATTAGCAGTGGTTTGGTTATGTTCTGTGGGCCATGGTTGCTGATCTTGATACTCTTATGTTTTTCCCAAGGATGCATTAAAACTTGGGACTTGGGAATTTTAGTGTAGTATAACTCACTGCTATCACATCAGTTCTGACTCATAGCAACCCCACAGGATTTCCAAGGCTGTAAATCTTTACAGAAGCAGACTGCCTCATTTTTTCTACCACATACTGGCTGGTGAGTTCAAACTGGTTAGTATGGACCTCTTTAAGGAGGCCTGGTGGCACAGTGATTAAAGCACTCAGCTGCTAATTAAAAAGTCATCTGTTGGAACTCACCAGTCGCTCCAGGGGAAAAAGATGTGGCCGTCTGCTTCCGTAAGGATTATAGCCTTAGAAACCCTATGGGGCAGTTCTGCTCTGTCCTCTAGGGGTACTGTGAGTCAGAATCAACTCCACTGAAGTGGGTTTGGTTTTTGTTTTTTTTGATAGACTTCTTTGTCCCTTTCATGACAATTATTTTCTGCTTTGAATTTTTTGTTCATACCATGTTTTCAGTAATGGAAGCATACTGAAATCAAGGGAAAACATTTTGAGGTAACAGGGATTTTGATATAATTATGTGGGACACATATGTCCCAAATGGACCCTGGTGGTGGGACTGCTGGAATGAGGCCCATTTCTTCAGATTCTTACAGTTCTATAGGACTCCACCAGGCAGCAGCATGCACTAGAACTGGGATAACAGCTTCCTAGAGAGCTCTGGTAGCATAGTGCCTAAGGCACTTGCCTGCTAACCAGACGGCTGGCGGTTCAAACCCACCAGCCACTCCTCGGAAGGAAGGTTGGGCAATCCTACTTCCGTAGTGATACTGCCTCGGAAACCCAAGGAGGGGTCGCTATGAGTTGGGGCTGACTCGACAGCACATAACAACAACAACGGGAAACCTGAGGGGCTAAAAATATTAGTGGGTGATATATGTCCCACAGGTCACAAAAGGGTTGGAGTTTTAAAAAGCAAAGATGTCACTTTGACAACCAAGTGCACCTGACTCAAGCCATGGTCTTTGTAGTCACTTCATCCAAAAGCTGGACAATGAAAAAGGAAGACAGAAGGGTTGATAGATTTGAGTTGTGGTGTTGGCATAGAATATCAGATGTCCTGTGGACTTCCAGAAGAGCAAACAAATCAGTCTGAGAAGAAATAAAACCGGAATGCTCCTTGGTGGTAGGATGACGCATGTTTATATTTCTGACTGTAGACATCAGGAAAGACCATCCCGAGAAAAGGACATCGTGTTCGGTAAAGTAGAGGGTCAGTGGGAACGAGGGAATCTTCCATGAGCTGGAGTGACACAGGAGTGACAGCAGTGGACTCAACTGTACGGAAGATCACGAGATGGCACAGGTCCGGGAGCTCACTGTCCCGATGGGTGTAAGGTCACCACGAGCCACCACTGTGACAGCAACAGTAACCCGGGTAGCATGCGCACGGACCTCTCGGTGTGTTACCATCTCCCCTTGGGACAGAACGACTGAAACCTTGCTAGCTGCGTGACCCTGGGCACCTGATCTTTAACCTCTCGGAAATTCCTCCACCTGAAATACAAAGATAATGGCAGCCCCTGCGTGGTAGGGTTTTGCGAGGACGGACTGAGTTAATATTTGTCATGTGCTTAGAACAGCATCTGCACATAGTAAGCACTTTGAGCGTGTTCGTGAAGTACATGTGTGCGTGCTGGTGCCCTTGGTGAGAAATGGCCCTGGACAGCACCAAACGGAACAGCTCGTGAGGACACCACAGCGTAGCAGGTTCCAACCTGCCCTGGCGCCTCTCAGGTCACAATTTGCTTCTCTGCAGGTAAAACTGGTTAGCATCGACGCGGCAGAAATAGCAGACGGCAACCCCTCTCTGGTCCTTGGACTGATATGGAACATAATCCTCTTCTTCCAGGTAAACACCGTTTCCTCCCTGTAATACGCGGTAACGCTCTTCCGGCATCTGCTTCCGCCAACAGGAAACAGCAGAGCCAGATGGAGAGGGAGAGTGACTTTTCGTTTCTGGTACTGAAACGAGATCGGGAGGAATCTGTTTGCTGAAAAGTTCAAGTCCCAGGGGTTCTAACAGTGGTGTGAGCTCAGAGTTTTCAGAGTGGTGCCTCCATCCTCTTGGTACTTGAAGAGTTAAAGTAAATGTTTGCTCCAGGAAGCATGTTTGTTCTCAAGTATCAGACCCTTAGAGACACTGGGGAACACTTCCAACCCTGAATTGAACTTGGTAGATTTTCCTCCCAAAAAATCACTCCTGTGTTTAGCTGAGACGATTAGCAAGTGTGTGCTAAAGCTAGCTGCAGGCAGAGGCGTGTGGCTAGGTGAGCCCAGTCTTCCATCTGTGTATATCTCTTCAGCCTCTATTTGGAAATACCGAGAAGGATGGGATCTCGGCTGGAGGCTGAAGAGAGCGTTTTAAATTGCACTTGAGTTCATTTCCCTGAGAGGTGTGAGCTGACATCTCCAGATCTGAATCCCATGCACCTTTGAAATAAGCACTTGTGTAGTTCATCATTTAATACCACCTCCCCCAAGGAGCTCTGGTAGCATAGCGCCTAAGGCATTTGACCACTAACCAGAAGGCTGGCGGTTCAAACCTACCAGCCACTCCTCGGAAGGAAGGTTGGGAAATCTACTTCCGTAGTGATACCGCTTCGGAAACCCAAGGAGGGGTCGCTATGAGTCGGTTCCAACTGGATGGCACATAACAACAACAACAACAACCCTCGAGAGTAAAACGATCTGCACTGGAGCTATTGACACAATAGGTGTGTTTCAGACACAAACAAGCATAAACAAGGTTTGGAGACAACAGATCCCGTTCTCTGGAGCCTCAGTTTTAACCCATGTCAAATGGGTGGTCAGGCTGAACATCTCACAGGGCCATGGTGAGCACTAAGAGAGCCACTCATGAACGACCCAGGTGCTGGCCGAGCCTGTAGTGTTTGGTACTTGTTTCTTAAACTCCCTACCAGATGCTAGAAACAGCTGAAAATGTAGTAAAAGTCGGGACCCTAAGTCCACCCCAGATGTGCATTCTGTTTCCAGTAAATGTTTGTTCAATTTCTCTTACATGCCAGGCTCGGGGCATCATCAGTCCTGTCTCATGATCCTCTGGGATCATGGACAAGCCAGTCACATATTACAGAACTCAGTGGTATGGGCCATAGTCAAGGTGTAAGCAGAGTATCGTAAGCACCAAGGAAGGGCAGGTATTTCAAATGGGGAAGGTAGGCGCAAAACTTCCAGGAGGAGGTGACACTCGAGCTGGGTTTTGAAGGATGAGTAGGAGTGTGGTACACCAGTGCTTCTCAAACTACTGTGCATGCAGATTGCTTGGGGATGGTGTTGAAAGGCAGGCACTGATTGTGTAGGTCTGGGGCAGGGCCTGGTTCTGCATTTTTCACAAGCACCCCCGTGAGAGGAAGCACATTTTGAGAAGCAAGGAAAGGGACATCCAGGTAACAAGAGCAGCGTGAGCAGAGGCCGTGGGGCTGGTGGCAGCGTGACACGTTAGGGACTGATGGGCAATGAGAGGGGCGGGGTAGGCAGAGCGAGGTGAGGGTGCCTAGTGGGCAGTGCCCGAGTGAGGTGCACGACTCCGGGAAAGACCATCCTCCTTGTGATGTGTCAGCAAACACATTGAATGCTGCGTGGAGTGGCCAGGCCATCACTGTCCCAGTGCCCTGGCACCTGGTCATCAGAAGAGGTCTGTCCCTCTATGGGAGCTCTGTATGAACTGTTCCTCTGGCCAGCTCATGTGGCTGCGGTCAGATGAGGGTGCACTCTGGGAGGGTCCGTCCGTCCGCCCTGGTACCTGCAACGCCACTTTCCTTCCAGATTAAGGAGCTCACAGGAAACCTCAGCAGAAATTCTGCGTCTTCAAGCCCGTCACCTGGCTCGGGTGGCACAGACTCGGACTCCTCCTTCCCACCCACGCCCACTGCCGAGAGGAGCACGGTGCTGTCCCTCAAAGACCAGAGGAAGGCCATCAGGACCCTGCTGGCCTGGGTGCAGCAGAAAACGAGGAAGTAAGCCAAAGCACCCCCCACACATACCCCCTAGTTCTTGTGCTGTGTTCAGGCAGGGGGAGGGACATCCGTCCCCTGGGGTAGGCTCCAGAGGGGAATTAACACTTCATTAAGATGCCAGTTATGCACCTGTAGCCCTGGTGGCACAACAGTGAAGAACTCAGCTGCTAACTGAAAAGTTAGTGGTTTCAATCCAGCCGGTGGCTCCGTGGAGGAAAGACCCGGTGATTTGCTTCCATAAAGTTGGCAGCCTGGAAAATTATGGGGCTGTTCCGCTTGTCCTGTAGGGTTGCTATTGAGCTGTAACCTACAGCACCCAGCAACAACAGCAGCTTCTTACAGCCTGTCAGGGCAGGGAGCATCACGTTCTTCTGTCTGCACAAAGAACAAACCCCAAACCCTGCGTTCTGCAGAACGTTTGGTTTGGAGAAAGCTGATGAGAAAACATTTGAATACAAATCAAAGGGGCGTTTATCATGTTAAATCCCGGGGCTGTCTCCTGGGTTCCTTATGGTGAAGCTTCAGGGTATCTTTCAGGGTCTTTCCCACCTTAAAAAAAATATCTATATCTATATCTATATCTATATATCTATATATCTATATATATAGAGAGAAAGAGAGAGAGAAGCAGAGAAGCTCTGGTAGCATAGTGGCTAAAGCACTTGACTGCTAACCAGAAGGCTGGCAGTTCAAACCCACCAGCCACTCCTCGGAAG